CGAAATATTCGGCGAAAATGAACTGAGCACGTGCGCAATAGTATTGTTCTTATCGTGAGCAATATTATATAAGGTAGGATATTGTTTTATGAGACTGGCATTGGCTAGCCAGATGTCTTCACAAAAATGAATCTCCGACCCATCTTTTATCGCAAAAGACCCAAAGCGAAGGAGATGTTTCTTTGCCGTCATTAGGCCAGCCCAAAAGTGCGAGCCACCATATTTCCAATATGCCTGGGACACCGCCTTTTGGCGTAGATACTTGTTGCGCAACATGGTTTGCCAAACACCATCCTCAGTAAGATGTTTGAACAACCAATTACTAAGCAATGCCTCATTCTTGACCTGCAGGTCATGATTCCAAGGCCGCCTTGATCTTTTGGCCTACAAACCACACTCCATTTAGCCAACCAATATTTTTTTTCTCCGACTCCTTGCCAAAAAAGTCTAGATCTAAAATAGTCCAGTCTTTTCAGGACCTCTTTTGGGAGTTGGAAGAAAGAAATATTATAGAGAATCATATTTGTGAGGATGGAGTTAATCAAAACTAGCCGTCCTCCAACTGACAACATCTTGCCTGTCCAACTGCTCAATCATTTCTCTAGACGCTCCTCTATATGCTTCCACTCCACAATGGTGAGACCCCAATAGTGGATCGGTATACCCACATATTTAATCGGGAATTGGCCATGTGCACAACCAAAGAGGTCAACGTAATCGGCATCCGCCTCAACGGCTTCTCCAAAGGAAAAAAGTTCACTTTTATGGAAGTTAATTTTTAGACCCGACATTTGCTCATACGCCGAAAGCAAGAGTTTCGGGTTTCGAGCCTTGTCTAGGTCATGTTCCATGAAGAGAATTAGGTCATTGGCATATTGCAGAATAAAGAGGGTACCATCTACAAGTTGTGGCACTACTGCTGCTACCTGGCCGTCCTGCTTGGCGCGCTCAAACAGAATAGCCAACATGTCAGTAACAATGTTAAATAACATTGGGGACATGGGGTCACCCTGTCACAGTACTTTTTTTGTCTGAAAGTAATGACCTACATCATCGTTAACTTTGATGGCCACACTACCTCCACTTACAAAATTTTGGATCCACTCGCGCCAGTTACAAAATTCTTCTTCTTCATTTGTATTGATGCACAATGTGAAACTATATATGTATATATGGATGAACTCCGTGCAACTATGTATGCATTGGATCTTTTAATATCCTATGTATTCTGTTGCGTTGATGGACTGCTAGATGTTTGATACATGGGCTATATTTGAGGTTGGAACTATATATATCATATATATCTTTTGGAAATGCAGGGATATAATAGAAAATAGAAAAAATAGAAACAATACAGGAACTTCGCATCAGCCATCGACGGCACAGGGGCCTTTGTCGTCAGCCACAAATGGCAAAGAGGCCACGTGGCAGCAACCTATGTAATCTGGGAGCTGACCCATTTGGTACTTTGCCGTCTGTGGCAGATGGCAGAGGCTGTGGGAGTTTGCCGTCTGTGACAGATGACAAAGACTTGGGGGGCATGACGTGTGGCTGATGTAAGATGGCAGATGGCAAATGGGAGGGCATGTTTGCCGTCTCCTGGCGGATGACAAAGGCCGCCGCTAGCCACCTAACATGGCTAACGCCTGTTATTTGCCGTCCATGCTCTTTGCCGTCAGCCACGGATGGAAAAGGGCCTTTGTCGTCCGCTTTGACAAAGCAGACGACAAAGAACCTGTTTACCATCACTTTATTTGCCGGACAGCTTTGCCGTCGGTGGCAGACGGCAAAGAGGTTTGCCGTCCGCCTTTGGTGCCTTTGCCGTCTGCCATGTCAGACGGCAAATAACCTGATTCCTGTAATGATAGATTAAATTGTATAGGTTTTGGTAAATATATCTAGCAAGAACACAAAATAAAATAATAAAGAAAAATTCCAGCAAGGTATTTTTGGTTTAATATGATATGAAAATAGACCCGGGGCCGTAGTTCGCACTTCAGGCTTCTAACAAGAAAATAACATACTATGGGTAAACAAATTACTGTTGGGAAATTGATAAAAAAGCGAATAATCATGATGATATCCAAGGCAATGATCATGTATGTAGGCATCACATCCAAGATTAATAGACCGAAACGATTCTGCATCTACTACTATTACTCCACACATCGACCGCTATCCAACATGCATCTAGTGTATTAAGTTCATGGAAAATGGAGTAATGCAATAAGAAAGATGACATGATGTAGACAAGATCTATTCATGTAGGAATAGACCCCATCTTGTTATCCTTAATAGCAATGATACATGCGTGCCATGTCTCTTTCTGTCACTGAGATTGAGCACCGCAAGATCGAACCATCACAAAGCACCTCTTCCCATGGCAAGAAAAATTAATCTAGTTGGCCAAACCAAATCAAAATTTTGGAGAAGAAATACGAGGCTATAACAATCATGCATATAAGAGTTCAACAAAGACTCTAATAATATTGATGGATAGAACTGATCATAAACCCACAATTCATGGGATCCCAACAAACACACCACAAAAAGTCATTACATCAAATAGATCTTCTAGAACATTGAGGAGAACATTGTATTGAAGATCAAAAAGAGAGAAGAAGCCATCTAGCAACTAGCTACATACACGTAGGTCTGTGGTAAACTACTTACACATCATCGGAGGGGAACAAGGATGATTATGAACCCCTCCGTGATCGTTGCCCCCTCCAGCAGAGTGCCGGAAAAGGCCTCTAGATTGGATTTCGTGGTTCTGGAACTTGCGGCGACAGAAACTATATTTCCTCGACTTCGCTAGGGTTTTTGAGATTTTAGAGTATTTATAGAGGTGGAAGTCGGTCAAGAGGGTGCCCGTGGGCTCCACTACCCACCAGGGCGTTCGTGGGCCCTCTGGCATGCCTTGGTGCCTAGTGGGCCCCATGGGCCTCCTCCCGTTTGCTTACTTGGCTCCCTGGGTGTCTTCTGGGCAAAAAAAATTCTCTTAAAAGTTTCGTGGCATTTGGACTTCTTTTGGTATTGATATTCTGCAAAGTAAAAAGCAAGCAAAAACAGCAACTGGTACTGGGCACTATGTCAATAGGTTAGTCCCAAAAAATGATATAAAGTTGCTAGTAAATGAATGTAAAACATCCAAGATTGATAATATAATAGCATGTCACAGTAAAAAATTATAGATACGTTGGAGACATATCACCATTCCCAGCTTAATTCCTGCTCGTCCTCAAGTAGGCAAATGATAAAAACAAATTTTTTGATGTGGACACTACTACAGGATGCTGCTGACGCGACACTACGATCAGAGACCCTTTGAGAAACTGTGTGCGATGCAATAATCGCAAAATATGGTGTTAGAGAACTGTCAAAAATGTCCAAAACATTTGCGATGATGGATGCATCAAACACGGTTTAGATTTTAGTTGCGTATGCGATGCAGGGCATACGGTTCAGTCCAATTAACTGTTTGCGATGAGGAGTAACAAACGAAACGGCAGCGAGATGAAGGCGTGTGCGATACACATTATACTGTTCACTAGGATGAACTGTTTGTGATTAGGCAACACAAAAGAAACGGTCAGCCAGAACCAAGTGTGTGTGATATACAGCATGCAGTTCACTCGGATGAACTGTTTGTGTTGAGACAACCGAACATAAACGGTTCAATATAACAAGATGTGTGTGATACGCGGAAAACATGTCTGTAATCAGAAATGTGTGCGAAGACCAA